CACGAGACAAGAGGCAGCGTTGGTGCCACGAGAGGTCATTGTCGTCGAGGTATTCGAGACGCAACCGCATGCGACACGAGTGCCCAGTTGAGGCAGACGGTGACATGTATGCATGCCAAAGTCGCATTTATTGGATTGACGGGTTCTATGTTTCATAATATGTATGCCGCCTCATCCCAGCCAGGGACTACACTACTGTACACTGTAGCTCGCAGGTCGTGTGACGTCTGTAGTCATTTCACAACGCATTGACCCCTTGCAAGCATAGCGTTAGCATTTTTCAGAGCGAATGAGCGACAAAAATGAATTGGAAATCAGCGTAAACCAATAGACTGCACCAGTAGCGCAGTGCAAATGATTCTCCAAAGAAACAACTTCTCTCCGCTTACTTGCTTTAACATGGCGACCATTAACCTCGCCAAAGATGCAGTGCAAGCATCGCAGTGATCATGTCTTGAGGTCATGCATATTTCAGCCAATTATAGGCGTGCAATATGGAGTAGGATGCGTGGCCTACGATTTCGCAAAACCGTTCGCTACTTGACCCGTTATATGAGTTATTGTATGGTCATGAAGTTTGGTAAATGCGAAAATGTAGGCCAGGAGGAGCTGTCCTACGTCTCTCTTGATTGTTGTATATCTGGCCTACAAAATCTGATGAATGGACATTTCAGATCCAGATCATACAAATATCAAGCGAGGTCGAAGGTGACCCTTTAACCTACGTACCATAAATAAAAAGTCGGACCAAATCAGGCCACTTTTTATGCCGTAAAACATCCGATTCTTAAGAAAATGGCATAATTATATGAACTTTGGAGACATCCACAAGCACAAATTGAAAATATTCAGATTCTGGCAACTTTTCTTGGAAAAACAGCCATTTTATGCCAACCGCCCATGTACTTTCGAAGATTGAATATTTAGATTCTGGCGCCATTTTATGCCAACCGCCCTTGTTCTTTCGAAGTCCGGAAACCTTAAATTTACCGTAACTAAGCCAATTTGACCTCAAATAAGGTGGAAACAATACAAGGAACTTCAGAATGCAAGGCCTACCGAAGAAAGCAAACGTTGCACTCCTAAATTGTCCAATAGAATTGGATTGTGAAAATAACGGATTTAATTCGTACTTCGAAGTTCGATAGCCAATCAAATGACATTACATACTTGATCCCCACTCGAAGAAAAAGTAGGCCTTGCATTCTGAAGTTCCCTGTAGATATGCCTAGCACCTCTCAGATACGCAACGACTTCGATGACTCACAAAGACGACCAAACGACTGACGGACGTGACCAAAGCCATCCTTTCATTTTTAAAGCTATGGTGGCGTGCCTGTAACTCAAAGGCACCTCATGGCAGTGTGCATGTCGGATCCCTTGTCAAGACAAACAGTGGCCGTCATCCAACCCTCGACCATACTATGGGTGTAGTAGTGTCCAAGGTGATGTTAACATCGACATTTGTTAGAAGAGTTTGTATTAATACTGTAGTTGCAGTAGTGAGTGAGTAGACAATGGTACATCGTCACATCATGTGATGTTTCGTCGTAGTTTTGTCGTTTTGAAAAAAAATACGACTTTTGGACTGGTTTCTTTTAAATGGAAAGACATTAGTTAAGTTAAAAATCATATTTTTATATTGGTATAAATCTTTCCGGAACAGAGGAAGTATTATATTTGACATGTCAAGAGGAATTCTGAAGAGTAAACACACCTTACAAACCACTCTTGTACCACAGAACAACAACGTAGCTATCAATCGACCTAGGGTAGCTACCGGTACAGTGCTACGCATTTACTATCTTCGCACGGTACCCTTACAACCGCTACAGATGTGCACAGAGAATGCTAACGTACGACAGCCCATAGTATCATACTCGATCGCTTCACCATGAATATACTTGCTACAGGTAGTTGATTGATGTGACTGAAAGACCACCGAGGTCGCAAGTGCACAGTGTTTCGATGTTTTGGTGACGCCTGGCCCGAAGTTATGACATACCAGAGGACTGATACATAACTAGTACCTCGTTAGTGCGATGATCTTTTGATGGTCAATACAGAGATGGAGCTCACTAGGACGATGTCACAGTCGACCGGTGGAATTCAGCGGAACTTATCCAGACATGCTGAATACCAGTTGAACGTCTTCACATCAAGTTCATTACTAGTATCCACGAGGCGGAATATACGTATAATCGAAGGTACTTCGTACTTCTAAGAGATCGATCGTACTCACCTTACAACTCTGCCATACGGACGAAGCTTGCCAGCCTACGTCCCCATAATACCCAGCCAGCGCTAAGCATACGTAACGTTAGTCGCCAGTGCACTATCAGCGTTGCATCGCCCTTGATTCTTGTACTACTTACTTCTGGTACGTAGTTAAGCCCTCGAACGATTATCAACATCATTGTGATGTGTACACCTTGCTCGCCTCCTAGCGATACAAACTGTACTTAGTATATACATACATGCACCATGTATTGTTGCTTTCAAGCTACCAGTAGCAAGATTAAGAAGTAGTACTAGACAGCATGGCAGGAATCATATTCGAAAGCACCGATTTAACTTCCGTGATCTCGGTGTATTTAGTCCAACTGTGTGTGTGGGAGCCCGAATCTACTGTAGTATGCGGTAGCGGGTATAAACTCCCAATTGTACCTTGGACCCCCCCTATCAGTACTGACCACCACATTGAGTTAGGTGGCGATTGTCGGCTCAAATTTTTATATTACTGCACTGACCGTCGTCCCCTTCCTTGCCCATATAGGTCGACAACGAATTTTCAATATCCTTTCAGGGCAGATTGGTTACCTTTTGCTTACATGCACCAAAGGGGTCCTGACCTTGGATAACCCCAATTCCTTGCAATTCACAAGTGGTTCTAGCGTTTTATTGACAGACAGCTATATGACGATGTGATTCTACAGGGACATGTGTTTGGCTACTGTATTGGTCCCAACTCAAGCATTCTTGTGGCCCCACTCATACTAGTACAATCGAGGTCGTTCGAACGGAAAAGAGAATCACAACCTGGGCATGAGCTCGTCATGTGGTTCAATGACATTTCCAACTTGGCATTGCTGTGAAAGTAAATACTAGTAACGATAACTCATCGACGGCAGAAGGACTAAATGGAGGTTACTACATAAATTAATTGCTGCCACGAGCACTGAGACCTCTTTGGCGACGACAATTCAGTTGTGTTTTAATGGTACTGTACGTCGCTGACTCCACGATTTGAGTTATGTAGGTGGCCACTCGGCTAAAAGCATGATGAATGTAGTAGTACTCCCCCACTACCCGTCCCCAAGCTGGCACCCAGCAAACGTACGTAGGATAATAATAACGTTAACGTCATGCTTGTTGTCGGAAACTCATGCCGACATTCCCCATCTTGGCGATAGGGGATGTTTGCGCTGAATGATACAAAAGTGTTGGTAGTTTGACTTACTTTGAGATTCAACGGCATACATATTCATAGTGTATATAACTCGGTCAAGTCAAACCGTACAATTCCCTCATTAAAACAGTTCCACTGTTGTTTTGACCCGAAATACTGTTTCAATGAGGGTTTATATAGAGCTTTCTATGCTGAGACCACCTCACCTCTTATAGGGGTTAAGGGCATCTGAGTGATTAGCGATAGCTAACCACTAGCGATGCAGTTATCCCCGGAGATTTAGCATCGTATGTACTCACGGGGGGTGAGTACATATGATGCTAAAAGGACGGAGTCCCAGGCTACAGGGCTACTGGCGAAAAGGTGTATCCGGATGTAATAATTCCCTCATTGAAACAGTATGTCGGGTCAAAACAACAGTGGCACTGTTTTACGGTTAATGAGGGAATTATTCAGTCAAATGCTATGGGAGAGGTTTCTCCAACATACATTTCTTCGTTGGGCACACCTGGTACAATATAATGGAGTATCCTATATCACCTTGCAGTCGTGTTATTCTATTCACATCGCGGCTCGGGGGGTCCCCGCCCTCGTTTGATTAATGGTTGGTTGCTTGTCCGGGTACGGCTCCTACTGCTTTTGCATCTTGTTGAGATGAAATCCACGAAAAACTCCTTAGTCAAACCGTCCAAATGTCAGTGACAGCTGGTGACACGCGTAACGACGACTCTACTGTCGTGTTTTTACCACTGTTTTACCACTGCCCTCTTACATCATCGACTTTTGTGACGAACGTACGTACAGTGCTACCAGGAAGGTAGCATAGTTGGCAATGAAAAGTGCGTGGCCTAGAGGTCACTTGTCCTCTTCACTACGGCGCATATTATGATTTATGAGATACGATATCGTGCTAAATTAAGGATTCACTGACACTACTTGGAGTTGGTGAAAGCCTCGAGGAGAAATGCCACACACTCGTCGAGTTGCATGGGGCTGCACGAATACGGTAGCGGATCCAACCGCATGTCAAGTTGGCCCGACACTACCCCGACATCGTCGACCGCGACGGGATCCACGTAGCGGCAACCGTCGTCGCTGTCGCTGCTGTACCGGTAGTTGGAGTTTCGAAAAGATGCCGAGGGGGAGGGATGGACCTTTTGCCGCAGACCCCGCAAGTGCCGGGCTTTCTTTTCTCGGTACTTTTGGGCATGTGTTCGAATCTGGCGCACTGTGCGAGTTTGCACGTGGTCGGCCACGCACTTCCACGGACCTTTGGGGAACATGGCCACTCCTTCCATGAACCGCAGGTGTTCTGCGTTGGTCCACATCCCCGTGCCTTCGATTTCGTCGTCAAACAGCAGAGGCGGCGACGACATATTGCTCCTGCACCAGCTTTGTGTGGAGATGATACTACTTGCACGGATGCGTTTGTTGTAGTTTCGCACAACTGGGGTGGTCTGAGGACCGGTGGGGGACGACATGGTAGATGCAAGAGGGATCAACGTTTGCATATTGGACATGCGAAAGGGGTTTTCCAAAATGACCAACTCCTATGTGTACACCTCATGCAACACCAATATGCGAAATGTCAACATGGGGGCTGGATATTGCCAGCAGGAGGATGTGGGGAAGATTCGATGACAAGTTAACAAATCAGATACACGTCCACACAACTGGTACGTCGCAGTATTATGTTTTCTACCATGTGGGCTGAAAAAGAAGAGTTCACGTAAGTGTTCAGTTGTATTAATACTATACATAGCATTCATACTGGGACATATACTACTTACTGTATGTACTTCATGCCGGAACGACCGCCGTTCGTTTCGAGAGAAGTTGACTGTGAAGTTTTTTCGTTGGCTACTCGCATCGGAGTTGTTAGTTGGGTCTAGAAGTATACTACTACTTCAGTACGTAGTATTATAGTAGCAATGCCCACCAGATCTTATTTTTGCGGAATGGTCGATTCAAATACACACGTGAGCCCCTCCAGTTGCGTAATTGTCGTCAGGTCGTGGTGCTTGGAATTCGATGGACTTTAGAAGGGAAATGGCTGGAAGAGCCAGCCCCGACTTGTAGTATGTGCTCAATAACTTACAGGTGGTTCAAACAACTGCAACACCCGCAGCAGTACTGAATTCACTCGCGCTTAGCCATCATGCCTCCAGTTAAGCGTTAACAAGTGTCCCTTGGCTACTGTACAAGTAGCTGGTTACGGTAAATAAGACGGTAGCGCTTCTGAATAATTGGCGATGGTTTCGATGTTGTCAGTGACGGGGTGATTCCCATGAAGGTGGTTTCGGTGCTAGAATTCACCAAACACTATATTTGATTCATTCGAACGTACAGTATTTGTGTGACACAATTCGTGCATGTGTCACAGGCCCATCCAACGGAGCACGATTTGATTTCTCCCTTGAGCGTTCGGCTAGAAAGTGGCATTGCCATCATCACGATGAAGGTAAACGACATCACGTTGTCCACGAATAAGTACTACGTAGTACTTCACTTTGCAGTAACAAGAGTGGATATATATGGTACCGTGTACCCACACTTTCACGAAACTACTAGTAGTTACTACCGAGTATTACTACACAGTCGATTGATGTCACAGCCCAAAAAAGTGGTGGACATTCTCTATTTTAGCGTTTTCTTGCGTACGCAATTCCCTAATTAAATAACTGAAAGCTTAGCTGTAAAACAGTTCTACTTTGTTTTTCTCAGAAAACACTGGAATTTTGAATGCTCGGATCGCTTACTAAGGGTTGTGGGCGATGCATTTATTGTTAACCTCGGAGATTTAGCATCGTACTTTGAAGTATATACTCATCGGGATAGGACGGAATCCCAGGTTACAGGGCTACGGGAGAAGAAGTGTATCTAAATGTGATAATTCCCTCATTTGAAATAGTATTTCGTGTCAAAACAACGGTGGCACGTTTTTGATGAGGGAATTATTCGTTTTCTTGCCCGTTCCGTATCCCAACCCGCCTTCGATTTAAAATTTGAATGGCATTCTACCAGAACTATTAATAATTCTACGTAGTACCGTTATTAATAATGTTATCCACTGCAATAATGGCTGGTGGGGAATTGTGCCCCCGGCAACACGATTATTGAAAACTCACTGGAACGCTTGATCGGATTGGATGAATACAGTTGGCCTATATATTAATAGCCTATCAAAGCTAACGTTAGCACATTTACGAATACCGAACGTTATTGACGAGTTCAACTCACAGACAAAAATTTAAATTAACGGGCAAGAATCTATCTCCCGGCTGGTTTCACGGTGCTGGCTGCCAAAACGTATGATTAGTTGACGAAACATGGTAAGTGGAGGAAGGTTGTACGTCATCACCACACGAAACCTTCGCATGCATTCACGGTGAGTCAGTACCACAAATTATTCCTTCGAAGTCGCCGTATGACAATAATGCACGTATGATGATGGGCAGGTTATGCAGCCTTTCGAACAACGGGACAAGTGTGCATACCTTCCACCCTCGCCTTATAACCCCCCTTCAACTGAATATGAACTTGCAATACATGGAGGATTCAAGATGTCCGGAGAGTGAACATGATACTGGAGTAGCACTATTTTCACGCACGAGGGTATCTTCTCACAGCAATATTACGTCCAGTGCTGTACAATTCCCTCATTAAAATAGTTCCACAGTTGTTTTTCTCAGAAAATACTTCAATATGAGTGTTTATATCGAACTTTGTATGCTTGGACCACGCACCTCTCACTACAGGTTATGTGGTTAGCTATCGGTAGCCACTAGCGATGCAGTTAACCCCCGAGATTTAGCATCGTGTGCACTCACCGTGGGTAGGACGGAGTCCCAGGCTACAGGGCTACGGGAAAAGGTGTACCCGGATGTGATAACTTCCTTATTGAAACAGTATTTCGGGTAAAAACAAGAGTGGTATTTCGGGTAAAACAAGAGTGGAACTGTTTTTATGAGGGAATTATTCACCTGTATTGTATCGTTGCGACAATCCAACTAAATGAAAATGGTACATGTACTATTCCCTCATTAACCATACTAGTACTGTAGTTGTTAAATTCCACTTTCTGGAATACTAGTATTAGGTTTAATAATTTATATATAAAAACCAGTTTATATAGTATACTATATTTCAAGATTAAACTCTTACTCAGAGTTTGTATACGCGTCGTCGAGATTGTAGTTCGTCTTGATGTACAGTACATCAGCTTTTTCAAGCTGACCGTTGTAAATGCTACCACCACAGCGCCTTCGGCGACGAATGCATCGTCCAAAGAAGCCAACACCCCCTCCAGCCGCTGCATCCAATTCGTCCTCTAGCGAACGCCACGCAGTTGCGTTGGGCGGCCTTGCCGCTGCTTTGCGTCCCTCGTATTGGCCGTGAGTGGCCCTTAAGCAATACGTCAGAGTCTTTGGGGTCAATAATCTGCTTAATGTATGTTATGATGCTTCATGTAAACCAAGCATCTTTTCATCCATCTTTTCCTCGTATAAAGGGCTAATGAAGTTGAAAGGATCATACTCGTTTTCTTATTATGTCTGTCGACCACCATCCTCCTTTCAGACTCATTGCCAAGCGCAATATGCATCTTGCTGCTTGAGGCTGCGGGAAACGGCGAACGTAGCCGTCCTCGGCGATATAAGCGAGGAAGAATGTATGTCTAGACGAAGGAGACGAGTTTTGACGCAAGTCGACTTTGTATTAGGTTCTCTGTTCAAAACGTATACGTATGGACTTCAAATTTTGGCCGCTATGTAGTTACGATCTCTTTGGAAACGTATCCACTTCATTCCATGAGAATACCGTTACGTATTTTTAATATAGAAGTAACGTTAAGGATGTCATAATTTAAAAAGATAACATCGAAATATAGCATCAAGTTAACATCCAATTACTGTTAGAGCATCCCCACCGGCTGATGTAGAAATGTAAAAATCTTCAAAGTACTAGTACATCACTACATCAGCAAAATTTACATTTTTCAGCCCCACACCGGTTGCCAATAAATTTTACATCATGATATAAACGCTCCATAAACACAGATTTCTCAACAGATCTGTTGGGTCATTTACAGTTCTATGCGATTGAGGTCCCAATGGACTTCTTCAACGAAGCATGCCATCCCGATGTCCTGAAGCACGCCGGCAGCATGAATATGAATCTTACAGACAATAGAATGTACGCCAACCTGCTTCACTAGATTCTCCACTGGCGAGAGCTCCAAAACCTCAATCGCCAGCGGGCGTCCAACACGAATTTGCTCCATCAGGACTACTATTTCCGCCAACCGGTGTGGATTGGCTGTGAAGTGATGTACTACTGTTACAGCACGCACCCAATAAACGGGTCTTTTCAGCTCTATGTTTACATCAGCCGGTGGGGATGCTCTTATGACAATGTTAACTGTCCAGAAAGTTATGCTATAATTTTCTAACATTTAAATGTCATATTTTTAAAAGTTATGCACCCGTTTTCTGTGCGGTCCAGCAACTCTAAACGCAATCGATTGAGGACGATAACAATCCTTCAAATGGCAATTAAAATGTAGTGCACCACTGCTGTCTTCCTCGGGCTGAACTCGATTTGATTCTAGCGTGTTGTATGGTGATGATGAACTATGCACTGCCATTTTGTTTGAGGATCGTAAAGTTGATCATTTCCCGCAGCCTCCTGTAAAGTACTTACACTGATAGTTGCAGCGAACCATGTAGATATCCTGGCTCATATCGGCTTCAACGACAACTTCAACTTTACTTGTCTGGATGCCACCCAATAAAATTATGCCACACAGTAAACCGTTTTGGCAAGTCTGCAAAATGTTCCGAAAGTGTCATATCCCATGAAAAAAAGAAAATAGGAAGTATCAAACTGTAAACGTTGTCTGGATGCCATTTTAACGTGCATATATTCCCCGAACGGTTTCAAACATCAGGAGATTTGTATTAATTGAATTATAATACAAATTAAAATTATATTCAATATAATACTGTCATTCAACACTGGATTCATTAATTAAATTTGGATCAAATTTAAAAACAACAAGTAAAAAAAAATTCACTTCCGCTTTTGCCGTTTCGCTGCGGCCACATGAAGGTGCTCGTGGAATGCCACTCGACATTCGTCTTGATACGTTTGCGCACAACCGGCTTCGCAGGTAAGAACAGAACTTCTTCGCGTACCCCTTCCCTTGTCTTGATCCACGATTCCGTGCCAACGGCGTCCTTGGTTCCACTTGCTTTTTGCATGTACAGGCGAGTGAACATGCGAGGCAACAATATCGGCCACACACCACAGGTATGAAATCCATTTGAACCAATGTGCAGGTCTTACTGCTCACCGTTGGTTTGGAAAGGTCAACGAACGCAGTCGAACCTAGGCAACGTCCAACGGCCTCAACGCCCTTACTCATTTGCTGCTAATCATTACTATTAATATACTAAGCTTAGTAATGTTATTAATTTAGTTTGGCGGGATTATAATTGGTTGGGTTTTCATTTCAACTCCAAGTATAAAATTACTATCATGAATATTATCACTACCAATCAGTGATGTTTACGCCAAATTAGAGGAATCTGATTGGATATAAGTCGAATCGTTCGGAAGATTGACGCACTACCTTAGTGAGTTTCGTAAAAAATCGCAAAAAAAAGAGATAAGAAAGTAGTAAACTGTACTTGGAACCATTTTTTCATTTGCTAACAGGCCCTATAGGCCTATTCCAAGTAAGGGAGACATTTCCACTTTATTTTGACCCGAAATACTGTAAAAAATAAATCAATATTCCATCCTGACACATTTACTAGCCCGTAGCCCTGTCCCGGTGTACATATCCTAAATCCCCGGGGTTACCGGCATCACCAGTGTTTAGCTATCGCAAACCACTGAGGTGCACTTAAGTTTAACGCCTAGTAAGTGGCGAGGTGGTCAGAGTTTACAAAGTCCGATAGACACACTACTATCTGAGAAAAGAAACAATGGAACTGGTTCACTGTTAAATTAATCGGGGAATTCGTCTGCATCGTGGCATAAAGACCTGGGCAACATTTCCACTGTTGCTTACGTACAGTAATCCTTCACTTCTTATTATTAGTATAACGTAAAAAACCAGTTTAAGATAACTTAACCAATTTAGGATAACTTTGTAGTGCCCAATCACACCTCGTTATTTGTTCCAGTCAAAACCTCAGTCATATAATGCTTACCATTCCGTCACGTGAATGAAATGCAAAAACGGCGAGAATCCATTGGTAATAGTCATTCAAGATTGGGTTTGATGTACCCTAGTCGACACGGTCCACATTGGGTTGGATCTGAGGTTTAGTCGAGTGTTAAACTCGGTGGACATCCTTCCACAACAGAAATTTTACTATATAACAAAGACCCTTTTATAAATTATATAGAACCTGTTCTACCCTCTACCCTAAACACAGAATTTCAATGCTCCGACACATACATAGTTTAAGATAAAAAAGTTATCCTAAATTGGTTATCCAAATGTGAGTACAAGTGCTTAGAAAGTGACAAATTTACCTGTGAAGTACATCGCCTAAAGTGATAATTCGATTGTGAAGTCAAAGCGGCGCGTCTAGTCTATTGGAATCATTCAAAACTCAAATATCGTAACAGACTCAAAACTTATGTCCTTTCTACTCCGACGCCTCCAAAAAAGTTATCTTAAATTGGTTTTTTACGTTACTACGTATTATACTAGTAGCAAAATGCAGTGAAAACCAAAACCACACATTCTAGCCAGGGGTTAATTGCATTTCAAGGGGTTACGTAGCGATAATGATCCACTGGTGATGAACTTAACCCCGGGAATAGCAACACAAGGGGTCCGGGGTTTCCGAGGCTGGCTACTGGTACTTTTGATGAAACTGATTGACAGTAAGAAACAGTTGTACTTTTGCTCTCAGGAAATTGTTCCCTTGTGAGCGATTGAGGGAAACTATGGGAAAGCGTTCAACAAATCTGGATACCGTTCAGCCAAGACTGAAAACCGTTCAAGCAAATTTTCTTCCCGTAGCCCTGTAACCCCGGGACTTCGTCCTACCCCCGTGTGCACATACTTCGAAGTATAATGCTAAATCCCCAGGGTTAGTTGAGGTGGTCAGAGTACAAAAAATATGCCTCATCTAACAAGAGTTTATTAGTTTGAACGGTTTTCAGTCTTGCTGAACGGTATTCAGATTTGTTGAACGTTTTTCAGGGTTAGTCGGCGATTGTGCTCAAGGTAACAACACTCTTGCTGCTCAATTCTACGAATACTTGGTACTGTACTACTACGTACCGGTAGTGCTAACGTTACATCGGCGTCTACTACGTGTAGTACATGGCAAGGGTATGTATTTCCTATACGAATACACCCCGTCCACCGTCGACCGTACAGTATTTAGTCCGGGACAGTTAAACAAAACTGTACTTCGAGTGGTAGTATACGTACTAGTATAAATGAAGTCGATCCCCTGGTGCAGGCTCCATTCTGTCTCATCATATACATGTACCAGACGACTTCCGACCCAATATTTAGGGGACGATGTAGGTATACAATCCCACTTGGGACAATCGACTACAGTATTGTAGGGTATGCGTCGATGTGTCCCTGTGGTATGCAGTCACATCCTATTCACAATGGTTCTACCAACGCAGGGGGATGCTATGATAGGTAACCGGGCGTCGAATGCGACGAGAGTGGTTCAAGAATAAAGGGTTTTGCGAGTTGCCCCTGCAATTTCGACGTTATAAGTGGCCATGCCTACTCCCCACGCATTTGTCTCTTTGTAACAGTGTTATCGCGTGTTTTGCCAACACAGCCCAAAAATTCTGATACAGAATGTCTACGGACTGGATGTTTGATAAGCTTACATACGGTAAGTGGTGGTGGTGCCTGCCACCAGAGTGCATGTGATGCTAGTGAAGGTTCGTTGACATTTCCCAAAACTACTAGTACCCGTCACATCCCAAACCAGCCAAATTATGAGCAGCACTACTACCACCTCCAAGAGTTGCCCTTTGGACACAAACTACAGCGACAACGACAATCAACGGATCGAAGGCACGGGTACCTGGACAACCGACGAACACGACCGGTTTCTCACTGGCATTGCCATGTACCCCAAGGGCCCGTGGAAGAAAGTCGCGGTCATTGTGAAGACGCGATCCGTGCGCCAACTGCGAACCCACGCCCAGAAATTCCGCGAAAAGATGGCGCGGCGGGAGCGGCGGGTCGAGTGCTCTGTCAGCAGCGCGTCGTCGACGACTTCGTCGGAGGACAGAGAAGCCAACGTGGACTGGGAAAACTGCGGGGTGACGCACAAATACGACGGTGAGGTCAACACGTGGGTCGGCGACCCCATCTCGTTTGCCAGAACCGGCGTCCAATACGACGAGTGTGCGCTGTTTCTCCTCGAAGCGTTTGGCGAGTGGGGCTGTGCCCTGTGATGATGGCGCCCAATAGGTATAGAAGGAAAAGTACATAGGAGAAATACAGTTAGTTAAGTTATAATCGTAGCGCCCCCAAGCTATACTAGTAGAGCACAAGGGGGTCCATAGTTGCATTGATTGCTCCCAAGCGTCCTGGTTGGAGAGGACTGGAAGCTTTACGTAGCCGTGTAGAGTAAGTATGCTGTACCATATGAAGTGTATTGATACTAGCACTAATACTAGTTACATAGTACTCCGGGAGTAGGGGCTAATTTGCATGACTTGGAGCTACCGGTACGTTTATATTGGTGTGGTGAACAATGCTCGAGGGAAAAGTTACCACGAGGCTGAACACTACTGTACAGTAATGAAGTCCGTCAAAGATGTGAACTATCGACGCCGCATATGTTGACAGTTACACATTCTTTTTCATGCATTCATGTTTGAGATGGGTCGACGCTTGGATGTGGCACCAGGGACAACGGCTTCAAAACGTGTCACAAGATCTCAGATTTGATGGAAGAACAACGCAGGACCAGCGACTTTACAGTAAGTAGTAAGCCGTACTACTGTACTGGTAGTACTTTACTAAGCAGTACTATTAGTAATAGTACTAGTACTACTATTGTGCTTTTCACATATTTTGGCTAATCTGGGTATAAATACCCGCTTTTAACCAGTGGGTTACGAAGTTTTAGATTGATTCAACTTCGTTTTAGCTAATCGGAAGTACCTATGATTGGATGAGCAAGAGCTGTTCCTGCAGCATATGTTGCTAACCTGAAGCGTTTGCCCATTTCATTTCGGCAAACGCGGGGGT